GTAAACATTATTTCTAACTATGAAAATGTGTTAAGTATATATTAAAAATGTGTTTACTTATATAGAGATGTCTCAAATAATAAAACTAAGTAGACTTAATAACTAATAAAACTAAGACAACTATATCAAACTAAAAGAAAATTTAAAAAACAAGTCTATACTTGTTTATAATCTCTTACATCAAGTTTAGAATTTTATTAGTGAAAGCAACTTACCTAGCAACTTAACTTACGTAGGAGAAAGAAAGCTGGATGTAAAACTCCCTATTTAATTTAACACTAGGCAAAGTTCAAGTTAAGTGTACTTATTTTGTATCAAGAAGTACCAGTTTGATCACATTGTTAATAAAACAGCACTTTACTTTTTTTTTTGCACCCTAAGCTTTGTTTAACAAGGTTCATGTTTTGGAGCCATCAGGCTAAGCAAGGATTGTAATAAAAATTAAAAGATAAAAAGAGCTTTATCCTGTAACAGCATCCTGGTTTTGGCAAGGTTGATTAAGTTTTCTTTTTTTTTTTTTACAACACTATATTTTATAAAAGTTTTAAAAAAAATATTATAATAGATAGTAGACATGGACAAATTAAATAGCAAAATTCCTGTTATTTTATTTAGTGCTTTACTGGGTTTTTTTTAAAGTTGCTGGAAACATAGTAAAGCATAGTAGTTTTGAAATTGTTCAAAAGCATAATTATGTTTTCAATTAGCAAATGAAAAGTAGCATCACACCTTAACTGAAAATGCTTCAAAATTTTTCTAAGGTTTTACCATTTAAGTAACTGCAAATCTTAGATAAAAACATCAATTACAGTCTTAATAAACATCAATACATTTTTAATGAATGAAAAAACAGTTTTTCATGTTTTAGTATTTTATATTTACAATTTTACTTCATGTTACAATACATTATGATAGTGCTAAACTGACTATTAAGGTGCTATTAAGTTGTTTTGCACCAAATAATGTAACAAATTTTTAAATATTTAACACTTTTTTTTTTTTTACAATTTAGTCTCATCAAATTAGTGTTTTGTTATGCTCGAAAACTTCAAGATGTTCCTTCCATCAGTGATATTAAATATGCTGTTCAAAGAAACTTTAGTGGTCTTCAGGAAATCAATTCTTGGAAAATATTTAAGTCTTTTTTACCCCAAAATTTATCCAAGGTATTATATTTAAACTAAAAAAGATATACTTATGTTTAATTTTTTTTTAGAAAAAAAAGTTTTATATTCACTATATAAAAATATTTACTTAATTAAAATATATCTTATAAAAGAAGTGTTTTAATTCCATAAATTTGTATATTTGTATATAAATTTTTGTTTTGTGAGAAAAACTCACATAACAAAAATATCTCAGAGGACAATATATTTTCCTCCAAGATATTTTCTTAGTGTTAGAATTATTTAGAGAAAAAAGAATTGATATTTAAGTTGTAGTGTCAAATGCAAATGCTCAGTTAACTTCATCAGTTTTTGAAATAAGTTATTCTAGTGTAATTTTTTTATTACTGGAAATACTCATGTTTATATTGCTTTTTAAGACTGAGAGGACCTTTGATGTATTAAGCATGATAACAGACAGTATTGCAGATCAATGTCCGTGTTATGTTGTCAGAGGAGAAAATGCAAAGAGGCATTGTCTGAGCTCTCGTTATCTTCTTCTAATGACTGAAGACTTTTCTGCTCTTCCTATAATTGACAATCTATATGAAAAAGAAAAATTCAAAAGCTGTATTATTTTTGGAAGTAGTTTTCCAAAGGACCAACAGTTTACACAGGTATATTTTTTAAAATTTAAAACATAATAACCAATATCTCTGTTTCTATTAAGTTCCTATTAGATTGTTTTATTTTTACAATTGAATATACATTATTTAACATATACCATAATGCATAACAATATATATACATATATATTGCATACATGAAATATGTAATATAAATCATACATGAATACATATATGAAACAGCAATGAACTGTTATAGCAGTTCATTATTTGTAAAAACTGTTATTATAAATAACTATATAGTTTATATTTTTAGTATCATCTTTCATTTTGTTTTATTTTTATGAATTCAATTGCATTATGAAAATTTTTTAATAAATTGGTAGTCAAATAATAATAAATAATAGAATAAAATAACAACTAAATGAATTTAAACTATTTAAGTATTAATTTCGTATTTAAATATTTATATCTTAATATTTTAGGATTTCTTATTTTTTATTTGTTTATTTTTGTAATAGTTATTTTACGTGTCTCTTATTCACAGGTGTGTCGTGACATTAACAGAATTAAAATTTGCATGGAGACTGGTACTAAGGTTGTTCTACTTAACATGGAGAATTTATATGAGAGTCTTTATGATGCATTAAATCAAGTAAACCTATAATCTATAAGTATTTTAAAATTAATTTGAAACCAAAGCTCTTTTATGAGTTTGTTGTTTTTTTATGAGTTAAATGTTTTTTTCCTATATGGCAAAAAAAAAGTGAATTATTTTTATAATATTTTTAAGTACTATGTATCTCTTGGAGGAAATAACTATGTGGATTTAGGCATTGGAACTCATAGAGTTAAATGCAGAGTGCATGAAGATTTTCGGTAAGGTTTTCAAACCATTATCACTTGTAAGATAATGTTCTTGATGTAATAATATTACTGGTGTAATGTTGGTTATTTAATAATTATGGAATTCGTTTGCATACTCAAATCAAATTAAATTAAGTTTTAAGCAATTATCAAAAACTTTTCAGATTTTAAAGTAATTTTATAAATATTGCTTGTCTCCTTGTTTTTAAGTTGTTTTTTTTTAGATTTCTTATACATTTATCAATAATGGTGACATCAGTTGACAGTTATTTTGATAATTTTATTTTCCTTTTTAGGCTGATAGTGATAGCAGATCGAGCTAATGTTTATAGCACCTTTCCAATACCTCTAATAAATAGGCTGGAGAAGCATTTTTTAACATTAGCAAATGGAATGCCACCAGACCAATTAAAAGTTGTTGAAAAACTTAAAGAATGGGCTACTCATTTTTCATGTGTTAAATCTACAACGTAATAATTTTAAAGTTTATTTAAATTTTTGCAAAGAGCTTTAAACAAAAAATTTTTATCCAATAAATGTTTAGTGTATATATATATATATATATATATATATATATATATATATATATATATATATATATATATATATATATATATATATATATATATATATATATATATATATATATATATATATATATATATATATATATATATATATATACACGCTATGTGGCTATAAAAAATGTTTAAACTATATGACTATATACATGTTATTTCAAATTGCTGTTATATAGTTGTACTATATATCTATATATGTATTATATAAGTGCAGTATTGCTGTTTTGTATATATATATGTATGTGTATATATATATATAGACATATACATGCAATATAGCTATATGTGTTATATTTATTACTGCAATGTTCTATATATGCTATACATGTGCATTATGTATGTATATATATATATATATATACTAGGTTGGTTGAAAAGTTCGCGGAGCGGAAATGAAAAAACAATTTTATGATTCAAAAAATGACTTTATTCTTCAGTATATTCTCCCTTAAGAGCAATACACTTTTTCCAACGATTCTCCAATTCATGTATCCCATCTCTGAAGTGCGATTCCGGAAGGCCTTCAAAATACCCATTTACGGCTGCAATGACTTCTTCATGTGATGAGAAACGCTTTCCACGTAGAAATTTTTTGAGATGTGGAAAGAGGTGGAAGTCGGACGGAGCCAGATCAGTCGGACGGAGCCAACAGCTTTCTCAGACGTAATTCATCGTGCAAGATGTGTAATACCCGTTCATCTGAGATGCCCACAGCCTCAGCAATTTCACGTTTGGTCAATCGTCTATCATCCATAACCATGTCATGCACAGCATTAATCGTTTCTTCAGTAGTAGCACTTTTTGGACGTCCAGAGCGAGGGTCATCTTCAAGGCTTGAAGGCCTCGTTGAAACTCCGCAGCCCATTTGCATACTGTTGTTTTTGAAGGAGCATCATCACCCAACACATTTACCATTTCATTATGAATTTCCATGGGCTTTAAACCTTTTTTCACAAAGAATTTTATTACAGCACGATGTTCAATATTTTCCATTTTAAAAAATACTATGACACGTCTAATTTCAATAGCTTGTAAACAAAGACAGAAATGACATATCGACTTGAAATTTTTTATGCGTTCATACGAAGAATGAATACGTTTAATACAGTTATAAATTTGTTTCTACTACTGCAACATAGGTGCCGCTCCGCGAACTTTTCAACCAACCTAGTATATATATATATATATATATATATATATATATATATATATATATATATATATATATATATATATATATATCACTATGATTGGTTGAAATTTGGACAATTTTAAATTGAGTTTTTTCAAAAACCACTTAATCAATTGTAATGATTTTTTATAATGATGCTTGCATAACTATTTTCCTGTGAGTGGATTTAGTTTTGTTTACTAGTTTACTAATCACTAGTTGTTGCAATGTTGGGTATAGTCTAAAAATTGAAAAATAATTTTGAAATTTTTCATAGAAAATCCATTGTTCTCATATTCCATGATTTCAAAAGCATGTAAATTTTCAAAATCAACTATTGGAATTGTTATAAAACATTATAAGGAAAAAAAAACTGTAAAAAGAAAATCAAGAAGTGGTGGAAAGCCCAGATTTATTTCCAAAATGAAGGCAAAATCAATAGTTAACTTAATTCATCAAAATCCGACTCAGTCACAACAAGATTTAGCTGTGAAGTTTAAATGCAGTACGTCTTTTGTTCAAAGAGTGTTGAAAAAGAAAAATCTGAAAGCATATAACAAAAAAATAGCATCAAAAAGGTAGCTTGATGGAGGAATCAAAGCAATTGGATAAACTGAAAATTTTCTTAAATTAATTACAAAAAAAATATTTATGCATTTTTGATGACAATGAATCTTACTGTAAAAAAGATTAATCTTACTGTTAAAAAGATTGATAAACTTGATGCTTCCAGGTAATCAATACTATTGCTAGTCAAAAGTTTTAAAGCTTTTGACAAATTTAAGTACATTTGAGTTGAAAAATTTGCTCTCAAGTTCATTGTATGTCAGGCTATTAGCATTTGTGGTTTTAAGAGCTCTCTTTACATAACAAATCAATCTTTCACATATGATATATATATATATATATATATATATATATATATATATATATATATATATATATATATATATATTATATATATATATGTATATATATAACATTAGGTCAGCCCAAAGTCGACAAACTATGCTTCTATAACCTTCGTGAAGTCGACACTTTTCATAAGTCGACAAATTTCCTGTCAACTTTACGTTCGGATGAATTTTAGTAACGATTAGTTCAATGAAAATTAAAAAAAAAAGATACCATTGTAATGTCTTAATTATACTCAAGAGATTTCTATAAAAAAAATTACAAAGAAAAATGCGGAAAACTATAAACAATAACTTTTTTTAAAAGCATGTATGTTTACTCGTGTTACATATACGATCAATAGGTCGATAGTTGTGAGATTGCAATTTTTGTTTGAAATATAAAGATATATTTATTATAATTTTTGTTTAAAATATAGATAAACTATTTAGTTAAAGTAATATACGACCAGTTTAAAAAAAAAATTAACATTTAGACATTATATAAAATGTTATTTTTCAACTCTAAGTAGACTTATTCTACTCGTAAATCTTGTATCAAGTCAACAATAATAAATATATATGCTTATATTTTTATATTTCTATGTTTTTATAAATTTTTTTAATATAAATATTTGTAGAAATGACATATAAACTTTCAAATATGCGTTTAAAATTTATTTTATACTATTCCTACGACGTTATGTAGAAATATATGTGCATGCATTAAAATCAATAAATTTTCTATTTCTTTTAAAAAAAGCGCTTAATTAATCACTTAAATTTTTTTTCTATACAAGTGTGTAATCTATATAACATCTGTTAGTGAAAAATGAATTAAAAAAGAAAATTTTTCGTGTCAACATATGGTGTAAAAAATGATCGCTGTTGACTTTCAGTAGTCCCAGGCTTATATATATATTTATATATATATATATATATATATATATATATATATATATATATATATATATATATATATATATATATATATATATATATATATATATATATATATATATATATATATATATATATATATATATATATATATATATATACATATATATATAAATATATATATATATATATATAATATATATATATATATATATATATATATATATATATATATATATATATATATATATATATATATATATATATATATATATATATATATATATCGAGTTCTAAATTTAAATATTTTTGTTTGTAATTAAATGATTTCTTGTTGTATTTTTTTCAACAACTTTTAAATATGTTTACAAAAGTTTAAAAAAAAAAAAAATATTTATAATAGGATTTATTTTTATTAGCTATGAATTTAAACCCAAGGATTCTTTCATTGGATATACTGAAGATACTTGTGCATCAATTGTTCTTAAACTTTCACAAACGCACTGTGATCCTGATAAGGTTTATATTTTATATTAAGTGTTTTATAGTTTTTGTAAAGTTATCTGTAAAGCTAAATGTTTGTCTGAAAATTCATGATTGGAAAAAATATTAATGTTATAAGTTAATTTTTTTTGCTATAAAATAGTTCATTTATTAAGTTAACAATTACTTAAATTAAGTTTCTTTTATCTATCATCTGTAAAATTTATTTTTTATGTTGTGCTAATCAAATAGAAAACAACTAATTTAAATGCATTATAATTAATCCATCATAATTTTAATGAAAAAAATTTATTTGTTATTTAATGTGATTTATTACTTTTGGTGGACACTTTTAATGAGATATCTTAGACCTGGAGAACTGTTACAAAAAAAAATTTCTAAACAATTTAGGTACCTTTATTGACCCAAAAATAATTAATTATTTACAAAATTAATTATTTACAAAGATGTACAGCAATAATGTATTAATTGCAGATTTATAAACATCATGGTTGTGGTATGATAAATCATTTTTCTGTAACTTTTCAAATGATAACATCTGACTAGTTGAGCAACAACAAGGAACCAGTTTATTGATTGGATTTAGAAAAATTTATCAGTACTATATCACAATTATTCTTAGCAACTTTATTATGTTTATCTGTAATCCTTTTGAATGGAAAGGTAAAACAATGAAGCATGAAGGGTATAGACTTTGCATTTTTATATTGATGAACCACCAGACCCATTAAAAGCCAGAAAAGCCAAAGTCTGTCATTGGAATTGTGCAATAGAGCATTTCAATTGACTTTACTCGAAGTCAAGGCGTAGAAAGTAGATTTTATGATAGAATATAAAGTTTGTGGTTAAGTTTACCATTTAGTTACTAGACCTCTTCCTGTTTGTGATCAGAATCATAATTTCTTGAAATGTATTTTATTCAAGATGATAAAGAGGAAGTTAAATCAATATAAAATATTATATAAGCAGTTAAGATTGAATATAAAGCCTAAATTTAAAAGATGTTTGCAATCTATTTTTCACCAAAGTTTAAAACAGTTATAAAGAAAATTAAATTTTTTTTCTAATTATTCTTGAGAATAAGAAAACCATCCCAGATAAACAAAGATCAACACACCAATCCAATATTAAATAAATTAGCAATTTTGATGGTCAGTGATCATTTAGTAAATAAGGGATTATAGCAAATTTCTGAAATCCATTGATCTCACTACACTCTTTAGCAATCTCTATTGAAAAATCTTTATTTTGGAAATGATATAGTTAACTTACAACGTAACTCAGTGCCAAATAAAGAATGTTGGAAAAAAATCTCAGCAAAAAACTATATTGCTTATGGAATTTAAATTAGGAATTCAATCAATTGCATTTTTTTTATACATATTTTTTTATAGAATAGTGTTTAAAAAAATATTCTTGATGGACGTTTCCAAAAAATTATGCAGGGAAAATGATATATGTTTTGGCTATTATTTTTAGAATAATAAAACTAGCAATCCCCAGTTTACTTTCATTTAATTCTAACCTATTTAAAAACTTTGTAAACAAAGAATGGCATTCATTAGTAATGCTATCTAAGAATTAAGTTTGAAACGAAATCACGCACGGAACAGAAAAACTGAAGTTTTAGCTACTAGATAAATAAACTTTCTAAGAAAATATAAGTTTCTGTAGTATACTTTTTTTTTAAATAGTATTTTAAATATTAGTAAATATTTCCCATTAGGTACATGATTGCACTATGTATCATAGAGTTACAGCAATCGTTTAAATTCAGTTCATGTTTGGTCACACATGGAAGTTGCAAATTTGTTCGTTTCTTATAGTTATTTTGATAAAAATAAATTGCTTGCGAGTATTTCAAGTGAAATAATATATATCTACAACTCATATTTAATATATTTTCAATAAGAAACATATTATATATATATATATATATATATATATATATATATATATATATATATATATATATATATATATATATATATATATATATATATATATATATATATATATATATATATATATATTATATGTTTCTTTTTCAAATCATTGCTTCCAACAAGGCTGCAAGCAACCACTATTAGAATTGGAAGTTACTGGAAGAGAAAAAATGAAGTTTATAGAGCAAGATAGTTATTGACAGATAACTTAAAATATTGTAAATTATATGAATCAGAAAAGCAACACGAAGGAAGAAAATTCAAAAGAACTGATGTTTGAGGAAAAAATCTAGTACTTGCTATGAATGAGCACTTAGGAACAGTCGCAATAAAAGGACAAGACTTAATTGAATGACAAGTAAAACGAGAATAAATTTTAGTAAATGGAACGAGAGACACAACTTGTTAGAGCAGTACCCATTATAGTATTTATAAGAAAAAAGAAAGAGAAGCAACATTATGAAGTTCTTATAGTGGTTGGAGGTTGGCTGCAAGAGCAGGTACAACTATGTTTACAATGCATTTTTGCACCATGTTTAAAAGAAATAGGGCATCATTAGGAGATCCCCCCCCCAGATATAGTAACAGTGTTCCATACAAAGATGGATTTGAGATTTATAGAGAAAAAGAAGAGAATCCAGAGTAAGAAAGTGATGACCAGGATAGAGGTGCAAACATAGCAGATGCTAGTTTTGCAATGGATTTGATATATGGTTTCCGAGGAAGATTGGAAGTAAGATGTAATCCTAGAAGATGAAGGATAGATGACTCATTGAGTAGATTACTGTTCAAAAATATAGGAAGATCTAAACTATTGCAATAATGATTAGCTAAAAAAAGTTGAGTTTTATCTGAATAAAATTATCCAGCCACTCTGAGCCCAATGCTGTAGCATGGGGCTCACAGTGGCTGGTGAGCTTTACACACTTTTCAAGCTCAAATGCCCTCTCCGAGCAATCAGAGAGTGTTGGCTTCTTATAAAGATAAGAATAGATAATAGTATCATCAGTGAACAATGCCACCTTAAATGTGAGAATATCTGGAATATTGTTAATGTAAATTAAAAAGAGTATAAGACCAAGGATTGAACCTTGAGGAATCCCTGAAGTTACAGGATATGAAGAAAAGTGATATCCATCAAGGACAACTTTTATCCTATGATTAGAAAGGAAGGATTCAATAATCTTAAAAATGTTACAAGATACACCAAAAGAAGAAAGCTTATGGAAAAGACCAACATGCCAAACTTTATCAAAAGCTTTAGAAATGACAAGAGCAGTAGCTTTAACCTTTCTACATCTTTCCATATCACGATAAAACCTATCGGTTATTACTGCTAACAAATAAGTTGTAGAACGGGAAGATCAAAATCCATATTGGTGATCAGAAAGAAGATTATTAGATTCAAAATGAGAGATTAAGTGTTTATTAATTCCGAATTCAAAAACCTTGCTTATGATAGAAAGAAGACTAAAGGGTTGGTAGTTAAACAAGTCAGATCGCTTTCCAGAGTTTTTGAAAATAAGGATAACAGATGCTGCTTTCCAACAGGTTAAAAAACAAGACTCTGATAGGCACTTGTGAAATAGTTTTGAAAGTATAGTTGACAGCTCCAGAGGACACTTTTGCAAGACGATAACAAGTGTGTTGTCCAGACCAGAAGCTGTAAAAGAGCTTAAGCAGGAAATCACTTTACATACAGAAGCGGGAGTGATACAAATGTTAAGCAATGGATCAACCTGTTTGTCAGCTATATCAGGTAGAATGCTACTAGTGAAATCAAGAGATGATATTGATAAAAAGTTCTTAATAAATAAATCAGCTTTGTCTTTAGATGAGGTGACAAAATTTGAACCATGTAAGAGGTGAAATATCAGATTTGTCTTTAATAATGATACTGTTAAAGATTCTAAAGAAGTCAAGAGAGCCTAATTTTTTAGATAAACTACGGGATTTACGATAAACTACGGGAATAGGATGACCTATTTTTGAGATGAAATATGAGACTTTATATATGTGCATATATATATATATATATATATATATATATACATATATATATACAGATAAATATGTATATATATATATGTGCATATATACATGTATATATATACAGATAAATATATACATATGTGATGCATATATATGTGCATATATATATATATATATATATATATCATATATGTGCATATATATATGTATATATATACAGATAAATATATACATATGTAAATATATATATATATATATATATATATATATATATATATATATATATATATATATATATATATATATATTATATATATATATATATATATATATATATATATATATATATATATATATATATATATATATAATTGCTCATATGTATATACATATATTTATGTATAAATATATTTATATATATATATATATATATATATATATATATATATATATATATATATATATATATATATATATAATATATATATATATATTTATATATGCATATATATATACACATATATGTCTGTATGTAAATATATGTATATATTTAAGTATATGTACATAAATATTATATATATATATATATATATATATATATATATATATATATATATATATATATATATATATATATATATATATTTATATATATATATATACATACATATATATATACAGATAAATATATATATATATATATATGTGCATATATATATGTATATATATAAAGATAAATATATACATATGTGATGCATATATATGTGCATATATATATATATATACCATATATGTGCATATATATATGTATATATATACAGATAAATATATACATATGTAAATATATATATATATATATATATATATATATATATATATATATATATATATATATATAATTGCTCATATGTATATACATATATTTATGTATAAATATATATATGTATATATATATATATATATATATATATATATATATATATATATATATATATATATATATATATTTATATATGCATATATATATACATATATATGTCTGTATGTAAATATATGTATATATTTAAGTATATGTACATAAATATTATATATATATATATATATATATATATATATATATATATATATATATATATATATATATATATATATATATATATATATATATATATATATATATATATATATTAGGGGTATGACTAATAAAAAAATTTTAGAGTTTTTTATTCCCTATGTAACCATGAGTGGAGAAATTATATTTATAAACATAAAATCTATTTTTTTACACAACACAATCTTACTCAATATACGACTGTGATTACAAACATCATAAATTCTACAGATTACTTTATGAGATAACTGCAATTTTCAATTTCATCCCTGTTGGACCGTGTGGACGGGCTTCAGCATTTTATAATTGGTTTTTTGTATATAACCGGAATTGTCTTCTTTAAGTTTGTCAAACTGTTATCTTGTGTTTTGAACATTATGTCCAAAAATAGTGTTGCTTCAAACAAGAATAAGAAAGTTTGGGAATAAAATTTAGTAAGGTTTGAAATAGCTAAAACTTCCAGAAGATGTACTACTGTTGTTAAAAGTATTAGTGAAATGAATAAGTTGCCAACAAAACAGCGTATCATTGATCGATTTAAAAGTTTGTCATCAAATGTGAAAAGTAGAAAGGAGAGAATTACAATTGTGGCTAAAGAAACTAAATTGCTATGGAGAAAGCTAAATATTCTTATTCAACAAGGGAAATTGGCAGCAGAAAGAAAAATAGAAAATGTATTGAAAAAACTTGACAACGATAGTCGAAAACCCAGAACTCAAAATTTTACACGATTGTTTGACATAACCGATGAGAAAGGTGAATGGTTGTGTCAGGAAGATAAAGAAAAATATATTGTCTAAAAA